GTCATAAATGCTGTAACATTCACTGAACGCTATCTGTGCGCTTTGTATTTAGTCTCGTGTTCGAAAGGACAAATCAATTCTCAGCGCTGCTTTCGTCGCACAGCGGCCGCATGAATTGAGAGAGCACTAAACACGTTCAGAGTGCCAAATTCGAAAAGATTTTATTATAATCTTGTCTCAAATGTACATAGAAGAGGGTGAAAGAAGCAGGATCTCGCGTTCCAGACTGAGAAGGATGAGTCAGTGTGAGCTGTGTAAAAATAGAAGAGAATTAAATATCGCATTAATAAACAGTCTGACACAGGTCCTTCTCTCTGGTTGTATAAGATCGAAAAAAAAAAAAACGTCCACAGAAAAATGTTTAACTCGATGTGTGAAATGTAGTCGAGAAATCGTAGAACTTTATCCGAGCTTGTTCGATATTCCGAAGTTACGATATCGAATGTTTACACAATTTAGAGAAGCACCTCTAGAGAGAAGAAGAAAAACTTATTCTGTATTTAAAAAAAAAATTGATGAAATTTAGGAGAAAAGAGCTGTAGAAAGGTTTTCGCGTGAAAAATGAGAACACACAAGTCAAAAAGGGGGAAGGGAACAGACGAAAAATTATTATTAGAATATTGGCATTGTATAAAAAAAAAAAAAAAAAAAAAAATGTAATTTCAAAGAGATCTATCCAATGAAAGAAGAGAACGGAGAGGAATGTTAAAGCATTTTTGACGTAATTAGCATTAACGATAAATAATAATAACGATAATAATCACACGCGCGACTTGCAAAGCGAATTTCACCTTTGGAAACGAAAAAAATTTCGAGAGGAAGAAATGAGATTCACACACAAGTCGAGATGACGATAGGCAAATAAAAAATGAAAATATCTTTATCAGGAAAAACGTGTATAAACAGCTTTTGATATACTTTAAAATGCAAGTACACTATACAATCTACCATGATCTCAACATTTGCGCGATGCCGATAGGAAAAAAAAAGTGGAAAACTATCGATATGTACATATATATGTACATATATATGTATATATATTGCGTATTATTAATATATTCCGCCGGCAGAGCTGCAAATTATGTGAACTGATTCGACATCTTTCTTTTTAACGCTAATTTGTAAATTATATATGCATATATAATTGTGTATATATAAATATACATATATATATATATAAATATATTTAATATAAAGAGGGTTAAAAAGAGGGTTAGGCAAATTCACACACAAGTAGAGAAAAGCTTCTTCGTAGTTAATGAAACAATTATGAGACCGACCGTTCTGTCGCGATCGTGCGCGTTTGCTCAATAAATTACCGTACATTTAAAGCGAAATAGCATGTACGCGAAGAAACATGTTATGTGCACCCTGCTTTGGATTCTACTCGCGTATTAGTTTCGTTACGAGCCTCTCAATCGCGATTCTTGCAAAACAACTTTTCATATCGCATTAAAAATATCAAGATTAATTTTGCGTTCACACAGCGTGTACATGTGTTTCTTTCGTATGCGTGTTTGTGTGCGTGTGTGCGCGTTTCGCGCGAGATGATGTTTCTTCTTCGACATCCATTGGATGTACGTCATTGAAATTCGTCGAGTCGAGAAGTCGTAAATTATTTCCTGTTCTGTGTGTGTATTTTGTTTACTGTTAAGTTATAATTGTTATTTAAAGTTTGGCTGGATTTTTTGGTCAAAAGCCAGCGTCGCTTTTGAGGAAAAGATGTTACTCGTCTAGAGCCGGTGTAATTACGTGACGCGAATGAAGAAACGCTTCTCTCTCTTTATTACAAAACCGGATTCGGAAGAAATACAAACGCGTACAAACGACTCTGAGTGTTCTCGACAAACGCGCACATATAAATAATTTATATATACAAAACAACTAAATCCTCCATATATGTATATATATATACACAGTGTATACATATATACAGAGAGTCTGTAATGTGATTTCAAAGCGAAACTAAAAGACCTGCAATAAAAAAAAAAAAAAAATCGAGCATCGCTTCTCGAAAATAATTTCTTCCATGGAGGATTTTAAATCGGTCTCAGAAGAAGAAGAAGAAGAATAATGTATAAGAACATATTTTCGCTATAAGCTACAACAACAACTACTACTACTATTAATTTTAAGTTACACATCACCCCGTAAGGTATCGAGTCGAAAGAACAGATGCAGATTTAAACGAGAACTTATTTTTGGTCCGTGAAATATAATATATAGCGAATATATAATATTTTTCTCATCGATCCAACACAAGTGTGTATATGTACTCAAATCTCTGTATAAAGAGCATGCGTGTGTGCGTGTTTGAGTTCGTGCATGTGTGTGCACATGTGCACAAAATATATGTACACACATACGCATATATATATATAAATATATATATATATATATGTGATTATGTATATAGTGAGTCATTATAGCTAGAGCAATCTCGTAAATAAGTAAAATATAGGTGTGTATAGCTTCTGAGAAAAGTGGTCGAAAAAAAAACACTATGTCACTGTAAGTTATATTTCTTATAACGACACCAACAACGTAACAAGAAAAAAAAAAAACGTTCACTGCCAAGTTGTGATAAACGTGAGAAATCCCACCTTTACTCCAGGAACGTTTTCTTGACTTTTAATCGCTGACGACCAATCCTTTTCGCGCATCATCCCGCGTTTTTCCTGTCCACAACAATCTCCTCCACGAATCTTTTCCCCATAATTTCTCTCTCCCCTTGATAATAATTATACGATACACACAGTTACCGCGCGCATCCAATCCCGATCATAGTCATCTATTTTTCCTTAAAACAAGAAGCTAGACTAATTTAGATAAAAGTGAAAAGAGAGAAAGAGAGAGAGAGAGAGAGAGAGAGAAAAAAAAAGAGGAGAAATTAGTCTCGACCAATGCAGCTAGAAATGAAGGAAAGACCATTCCTTTATTTTAAGAGTCGTGATTTAAACAGTCGTATTTTAAACGACGCACACAGATTATTCTTTAGAGCGAAGCGATATTTTTCAACAGGACGCGTTTTACTGTCGCGAGAAAAAAAAACAAAAAAAAAAGAAACGGACGAAAGGTAGTAGAAAACAAAAAAAAGGGGGAAAGGAAGCATCATCCAGACCGCCTTTTTAGCGCTCTTGTAATTGTATATTCATTACGTGTACAGTGCCTTTGTATCTTAATAGAAACACAAGTCCCCCTTCGTTCCTCGGTTGAAGCAATAAAAATTTGCGCGCGACTAGGAAAATTTCTTCGAAACGATTTTTCGAAATATCTCGACGAGTAAAAAAAGTTTTGTCCTCGTTTGTCTCAAAGGAAGACCGCGTTTGATATATAATTAAATATAATATTTATGAAATCGAATTGGTTAGATCTTGTGAAATGTTTTTTGAGATTAACGTTAGAAATTATTCTAATTAAAAAAAGTGTACTTATATATATATATATTTTAAGGAAAAGATTATTTATATATTATATTATTATATTGTATATTTTTTACTCTCTTGAATAATATTTATCTTATTTTACATAATGAAATTGGAAATGTTGATCATGGATGTGGTTATATGAGAAAAACATATATAATTTATCTTTGTCTCTCTTTAATAAGTGTTCAATTTTTTATCATCCCGCTGTATTAAATGTGATGTAAAAGTATTTTTCGTGATGTTTTTTTTTTTTTTTGACTTTTTTAAGGTCGAAGAGTAACGAAATTTTTATTGACGATAATCGACGCGAAACGAAAGAAGCGTGTGTGTATGTGTGTGTGTGTTATCCGAGGGAAAAAAGGGGGCGGTCCTTCCTATATATGTCGTGACATTCTTCTGGCTAGGTTCGTAATTATAATGAATTATATCTCTAATAATTAATATGTAAAATTAGATTAATTATTCGAGTATGTTGTAAAAGTCGTGTACAGTCGAATCGGCCGATGGAGGTCGAGGAAGCAGCGGCATCCTCGAGATCCACGCGGCAACGGCAGCCACTTTGTAGCTAGCCTTATTATAATTGTCATTATATTGCCATTATTATCATGGATTATATTATTACGATTATAAATATTGATTATAAATAAATTGTGTTTCCCGTAATAATGTAATATACGAAGTTACATGGAGCCCCATCAAAGTGTTTTACATTCTTACCCATCACGAATTACCGCAACGATACGAACAAAAGTGCAAATATGCTCGCTTCTCTTGTGTTCACTTTGTTTCTACTTTATTTCCACATTAACAGATTCTCATTACGTCGTGTTCATTACGTATGTGAAAAAAAAAATATTTTTAACCTTTTCTTGCACGTTTCTTTTTAAAATATTATCCAAGATAATAAGATATTTTATTTTTGTGTGTGTGGTACGCGTATACTCGATCTCTTTAATGTTGTTTTTTTTCACACGCACTAATTATTTATGTCATTATCTTATATTTATCGGTATGCTGCTATTTTTGATGAAGTAAGTGGCGCGATTTTATAATAAAAGTTGCACACAACACATGTGACACACATTTTGAGGAACGATAGTCTAGTAATGAGAGAACAGATATGTAAATCATTGACTCTGTTTTTTTTCTTTTACAGGTTTTTTAATGTGCTTTTTAGGCGAATATAACACGCAGAGTGCAATTGAGCATGATCAAAGACAAAATTTACAATCCGCTTACATCGTGATGATTAATTTAAGTATCTTAATGTTTATACAGTACAGTCGCGGGGTTTTATAAGTAATTTATCTTCTGTAAATTCTACGCAAATATATCTATGGTTTAACGTTTTGTCTTATTTTCTATCACAAAGAGCACACTAGAGCGACACACAGTTTGGTCCGGGAATTACATCCTGTACACACATACACATATACATATATATATATATATATGTACATGTATATTTAAATATTTTAAATCTCTCTCTCTCCGTATGCATGTTTAATAAGAACGGTAATTTTTATTATACGAGAGTGCTATATACATTCAAAACATTTTTTTTTTTTTTTTTTAATATTAAAATGGGGAAAAATAGAATACAATCTTTTTTTCACAGCGAATATTTAATTATAGTTGTACTGATTTTATGTTTGCGTGTGTATGCAATATTTTTTATTTTATTCTATATTAACGTTATTACGCCTATAATTAGTTTTTCTTTTTAGATTTGTTAAAAAGAGAGAGAATGTTGAGAGAGAAAAAAGCTCTCCCTGAATTGTATACTCACTCGCACGTGACTAGCAGTTTGATCGTCAGAAATCTAAAAACTATCAGTGTCATTTTTTTGATTCTTTTCGCACACTTCCACTCGACTCGGATACGACGTGATTGCTCTGCACCGGCTCGTCTAACATCAGTGGCGCGCTATACGCAATCGTAGTATCCATTAATAGATTCTCGAGTCTCAGTAAATTCTACGTTCTCCGCATAGCTTGCTTTCTAATCTGCTTGCGGCGCGCCTGAACCACCCCGTAGACCACCGCGGCGAGACTGCGACAAGTGCTCCTGTGTCTCGGGGTGCCTTCCTGTTGCACGGTGCTCTTGCCCAGCACGAAGTACGTCTCCATCGTGCCCTTTCCCTTCACCTCGATCAGTCCGCGTTTCTGCGTCTGATAGCCCCGTGACTCCAAAAACTGCGATGCAATTTGTGACATTTATGTTTTAGAAACAGAAGATTGAAGGAAGGAATATTTATTCAGTTAAATGTTAACCGAGAAACAAAATTTGGAGCATTTAATTTAGGATTTGTAAAAAACAAAACCAAGTAGAAAATTGTTATTATTACTCTGGCAATATCGTGCGGGACTTGGATCTTTCCCATCACGCCGGTGGAGTCCATGCGGGAAGCCTCGTTCACAGTATTGCCCCAAATGTCGAAGACGGGCTTTCGAGCCCCGATCACACCGCCCACAAGCGGTCCGCAACTTATACCCACTCGCAAGTCGAAGTTGTTGAACGAGTGAACGTTCACGTCCTCAAGACGATGGCGCATTGCCACCGCGTAATCCACCAGTTTGCACAGATGTCCCATATCATCAGCTTTGTCCTGTCATGTTAATTTGATTTTTTCTAATCTCATATTGTCATATAGAAAGAAAAACTTTTTGAAGTTATATATAATTGATATGTATTTTTTATATTAGTATATACGACGTAATTTTAATGTATTTTTATTACAGTTTGACTGGGGTTCAGGCCTGACGCGGCCATGTAAGTGGCGCCGACCGTTTTTATCTTTTCGATGCATTGGAACGGCGTCTCGTCCAGCAACTCGTCGAAATCAGCTGTAGATCCATTTCAATATATTTCCGATTATAAAATTATTTTTTTACATTTTGCCTTTCAATATATTTAAATGTTCAATATATTTAAATCAAATTATTGTTACCAATTATCTCGTTGAGCAATCGAATGCACTCCATTCCCTTGTTCACATCCTCCGAATAGAACTCGGTGAAGTTCGGCACGCTGGCGAACATCACGCCGACCTTGTCCCGCGATTGCGAGTAGAGTTCCTATTAATAGATCGACGATTTATAACGTGCGCAAAAACATGCTCCCAATGTATTTATATGATTTATCAAGTAGAATAAAAACGACTGTATACTTCCGGCGCGCGATCAGCCGTGAGGAAGTGATGCGCCACGTGATCCGGGAGGATGTTCTTCAAAAGCTGCATATTGTTGTGTCGCGACTCGATCATGTCGCTCAGCTCCCGCTCGGCCTGTTGTTTCCACAGGAAGTCCAAACGTGACGTCACTTCCACCAGTCTACCGTGATACGTCACCATCACGAGGAACACCGAGAGGAACGTCAGCATCTGCGCCGGTAGAGATATCGCCGATCTGGAAGAAAGATTAAAATCAATCCTACAAATCTATTGTCAAATAAACAATATCATAAACATCTCCTCTATCTATGTATTATCATATATATTATCATTTTTATATATTTGTGTACATATTCTATTATTATTAAATATCTATTTTTATACCAATGAATGAATATAAGGCCTTACGAGCCGTTCTCAAAGTGTTGAGCGAGAACTTATACATGTATATATATATATGTATACACATGTAACGAATTCACTTGTAAATTTTTACAAGTGAGTTTTTCGAATTGAATTCTNCCCCTAACTAATTATTAAAATATTGCGAAAAAAACTCCTCGGCCAGGAGTCGAACCTGGAATCTCCGGCTTACCGTGCCCTCGCCTTCCCTGTTAGGCCACCGAGGCACTTTAGCCTTAAGTCTTTATTAATCTATTTTTATAATGTCATATGTTATTATATTATACATCATGTCGAATTTCATATCAAGTGATTGCGACACTTACGCGTTTCTCTCCTCAGAAAACATGTCCTTGCACACGATCAGAATCAGCACCGCGTATACAAGGACGATCACAGCTGCCAGCGCTGTTTTGATAAGATAGTACAGCTTTAGAGCTGAGGCAAGTGCAACCAGACACAGGATCCACGTGAACACCATGTATTCCGGCCGGATGCAACTGGTCTCGTACGAGATGGGCTCGTCGATGCTCGTCAGAGGCTCCGAATTAATTTTCTCTTCGGCGACGGAGAGAATCTTCCTCTGGAAACCCCCGGTGTCACGTTTGCGCGCGACTCGCCTGTAACGTCGATTTCCAGACTCCGGCTGGTCGTAGTGTTGTTCATATCTGCAATATTTCAATAACGTTTTTTTATTATTTTATTTTGAATGGAGATGGCGATCTGTTAACGCCATTACACCGACCTGTAGAATCTGAAGAACTCCTTTCTGCTTCTTCCGGGCGCCCTGTCGTTCACCACCCGCGTAAGCTTCAGCTCGATATTGCTGGAACCTTCCAGAGTGTTATTCTCCGCAGGAACGGTCTTCTGCTCCTCGGCGGGCTCGTCGCTCAGAGCAGCCTCCAGGAAGGTCAACACCAGGTGGTCCATGTGTGACTTAGAGGTGGTTCCGGTCAGCTTCTCCGCCACCGGCAGAGCCATCGTGGTCGGTTCTTGTTGCTGACGTTCCAGCACTATCATTTCCGGATAAAGACGCACGGGAATGTAACACGTCAGCACGCCGATAATGGACGTCATTGCCATCAGGCTGATAACGCTGCAGATAAACGCGGTGCGATATTTCTTGTTGTGCACCAGCATGGACGACGTGTGTTGCAGATACGTCGGCATGCCCTTGAACTCTTCCGCCATCACCAGTATCGACGATGTCACCAGGATCACCGTCGTCACCAGCAGGGAGATCAGAAGAATTATGCAACTGTTAATATTGTAGAGAGAAAAAAAAACATTTATAAGTTTCCGTTTCAGCGCACACGATTGAACTTGAGAGATCGTGCACTCACTTGGATAGAATTATGGCCTGGCACACGGCAATGAAGAGCCAAATGACGAAGCAGCATATCATGTTGGACTTGAACATGTCTTCCCGCAATTGGTCGAACTGTGAACACACACAATGTACGCGTGATTAATCACATTTTATTTAAGATTTATTTACTTATTCTATTTAATGTAATCTGTTTTGATAAATTGAAACAAAGCTGCTACTCTTTTCGAAGATGATGGTGCCGATGAAATAAATGCAACAGATTTTCACCTTGGATTCCAGACTCTCGTCGTTAAAGCGCAAAGTCCAGGCATTTATATTCGCCGATCTCATGCGTTTGTTACTGGCAGTTTCGATGGCGTTCTTCTTCTCACTGGGAGTCGTCGCGGCCGTTTTGTTGCTCGGCTTGACCGGTTGACCATTCTCCTCCTCGAGATACTCGGACTCCAAGTTGCTCACCGACGTAGCCGTATTCAACTGCGCGCGCAAAAGCACGATAGAAATTATTTTTAAACACGGAAATTACAAAGAGAGTTTCGTAAAATAATTTTATTATATATCGGTAAAATAAATTTTGCTCACATTCTCAAATGGGATTTCAGGTGTCCAATCGATTCCGATGGTGTCATCTTCCAAGCTGGTGTTCTGAGGCGCGTTCGCGCCCGTGTGGGGGTTGTTCAGCTTGAAGCTCTTCTTGTTTCTGTTCGCAGCCGCTTCCTCCTCCGTCAGAATCTTCGGTTTCGACGAGGCTCTTCGTCTGGATTTGAGCGGCTCCACCTGTTTGATGAGATATGTCACAACGTTTCTGTCTTTGAGATAATTGTCTCGCTCGCTACCGTATCCGGGCTCCACCTCGTACGCGTCGTTCAGGCACTTGAGCGTGTCGGCGGAAATGTGCACCCTTCTGTAATGACAATTACTCTCGTTTTATGAATATATGAGTATCTATCGATTTATGTTCTTATTTATATGATATTTATATAAAAATTATTTTCTTTCAGATTTCGAGTCAGTCTGAAAAAAACTCGATTTTCGATAAAAAAAAAAAAGGATATATCGTACAAATTATTACGTATTTACGTACGTATTAAATTATTAATTGTTTAACAGAAAATTATATTATACCCCGGTATTCCTCCGCTCTCGAGATGATTCGCGAGTGTGACGTCGTACGACCACACGTCAAATTGCCACTTTCGCAAACCAAGAACCCCGCACAGCACCGACCCGCTGTGAATTCCTATTCTCATATTTAGATCCACCTGGGTTAAAAATAAAAATTAGAAAATTACATATCTCGGCACAAGGACGTTAGGCGTTAAAAAAAAAAACGAAACGTCATTACCTTCGTGGTGTATCTAACATCGCGTATAGCTTTTATCATGTGCAAACCCATTTCGACGCAACAATGGGCGTGATCGCTTCTGGCGATTGGCAAACCGGAAATGCAATAGTAACAATCGCCGAGTAGTTTTATGCGCAGACAGTGGTTTTCCGCCGACAGTTTGTCGAAGCGAGCAAAGAGATCGTTTAGCACCTTGACCAGCTCCTGGGCGCTGCATTGACTCGCCAGAGCTTGAAGGTATTAAAAACAAAATCAATTTTGTGAACGTTCGTTATTTTCGAAAAAGAAGTTTTTTTCTCAGCAAACAAAATATGTACCCGTGAATCCCTTGATGTCGGCGAACAGAATGCTGACGTTCTCGTAACGATGGATGTATATCCGATGAAATTGATTCGGCGTGAATGATATTGTACCCCCTCGGGCGGTTTCGCGCGCGATGTCGCGTATCATTTCTTTGGCAACAAAATCAGGTAACACTGTAACACAGAGATCAGAATGTATTACAAAAAATTAAATATTTTGTTTTTCAATTATACATTTTTTTTCTTTATTCTTTAATTAATATATCTTGCGCGTAAATATAATAATTCTCTCAAGTAGAAGGGAAGAAGTTTATTAAAAATTTATCGTATTTAAAACTATCTTACAACTAAACAACAAGAACTCAATTTTAGCGTCAATCCGAAGCTTGCGATTGCCAAAAAGTTTTCGTCTCAAGTTTAATGATTCATACTTTTACGTAACGAACGAACGCGCGTTGCAACGTTATACATGTTGGTATCAATCTCTGCAAAAAGAAAACATTCGTGCGACACGTCACGAACGAGTGATAGTGTGGGTCAAGTGGTATTTATGTAATCCAGTGTAATCTATTCGACGACAGATATTTTCGTATCGTACTCTACGAGGAGAGCATATAGTGGATCGATATATCGGGTGTGAGATCGGCGCGGTGTTGGCTTGCGACATAACGCAAAAGGCTATCGGAAAAACGTGCGTCCAGCGACGCAATCGGCCGAGAGAGTGTCTAGTGACCCTTTTTGACACTCGGCCGAGCAAGTTACACGGGCGAGCTGTCCACCGCGTGTTACAATAAATATGCACATAAATATCCCCAGGTACGACCCCACACAACAACTAAAGCTCTTCTCGCGCGTCGCTTTTTCCTCTCTTCGAGAGTTCCGAGAGCGAGAACTTGTCGAAGCGCTTTTCAATTTTAGACGATTTGATGAAAGACAATCTCAAGATTGTCTTCTTAACAATGCGCAATCGCGTGTATGTTTTTTTTTAAACTCTGATCGGAAAGCGTCGTCGGTCCAGTCGCATCAGTTTTTTGCGAATGTTAATTTAGTTTTACTTGCTCTTAAAAATTTTTGCGCACCTGAAAGCAACAATTTTTCCTGTCGATTGTTCTCGTTCTGCGTGCGTTGACGCGTCTCCGTGGAACGTTGCGTCTCCAGGAAGGCCTGTCTTTGTCCCCGATCTGTCAGATACTTGGTGTACATACCGGCCAGATTCACGGCCAGATACAGCAACACGTTCGTCGTCAGCATGCGAATGATGCACATTATGTCCTGCAGCTATATGGGAAAATTGAAGGAATTTGATGAAACCAACACCCAAACTTAAGAAAAATCAGAGAGTCGTAATAAAAAAGAGATTGAAAGTAAGAATTAAAATTAAAATTACATGTGTCAGTAATTAGGAGCAAGCAAGTAAACGCGCGTGCGTATGACGTAGAATAATAAGTATAGGATTTTATGTTGTGAAAAAAAAAAAAAAAAACAAGAAGAAACAAATACGTTGCATGTGTGGGTTGGAGACGCGTCAGCGATGTATATTTGAACTACAAAAAAAAAATCTTCTAAAAAACAAACTACATTTTTAGTCAAAATAAATACACAGTTTTGAATTTTTGAAGGGGAAGAACAGCGTTGAATTCGTGTTCTATTGGTTTTTTTGCTGGTGCGTCTGAAACTTACACACATTAGACGATAAACACACAGAGTGCTCGGTTTACCATTGACGAACAAAAGTAAACCTCTGCCAAAAATTAAGAAAATTATTAGTTTCTCCTCACATATGTGGAATCCCGCAAGAGACTTATACCGGCCATAACCATGTGCGTAAGCGCCGTTCCGTAGCCGGCGAGGACGCACCACCTCAGTGGCAACGGCAGCATCGCGTACGGCGCGTACACCACGAAGAGTATGTACCACATGAGTCGCTGTTGCGTGATGAAACTCAGACCAGCACTTATGAAGCCTGCGGACGATCCGGAACAGACGTAGTAGAAATTATACTTCAGGAACTTTGCCAAAAATCTTGTCATTTTCAGAAACAGAACGTTATTATTTTTGCCTCGGGAACTTCATTAAGTTAACGGCTTCGGTCTTCGCTTTTTGCTCTACGCTCTGCCGAACATTTCGCTCGATTTTAGCTGATCAGTAGAGCAAGACGCCATGCAATTCAACTGTGCGAAATTGATAAAACTCAATATATCGATTCTCACCGGGGAAGTTAAACTGGTATACACAAGTTTTTTTTGTTGTTGTGAGCGAAAACAAAAGAAAATTGTTGTCATCAGAACGGGTGATTTCTAGGTGTTGTGTGTTTTTTGTTTTTTTAAAAACAAACGTTCTAAACAAAGGAGAGCGACGAAGAAAATATTTATTCGATGTGTAATTCAAAGCCGGGAGTGATTATTAAATTACACCGGGTTTATAATTACGTGGATCGATTACGTCGAAAAGAGATGGTCACGTGGGCCTTACCTTGAGAATTTATTAATAACCAAGTAAATATCGAGGCCCAGTACAAGTAATTGTTAGAAAAGCAACGCCACCAGCCGAGCACGCAGACCATCAGATTCGCCGCCATGCAACATACAGCCCACGACAGACCCTCGATAAGACCTCCGCTATTTGGGTCCCGTTGCGAAAGCCAGATTGCTGTTAATGTAATCTGTGTCACGATACAACAATTTTCAATTTAAACAATCTGATGAAGCACACTTCTTTTAGAATGTTTGTGCTTTGTTTCGTGTTTTTGTGTCGTTTCTTGTGTCGACACATAGAGAGAATATATATTTATTATATTATTTATTTATCAAGTACATATAAAAAACATCATATAATTTTTTTTTAGATTCGAGATAAAAAATTACAATCTTCTGACGAGTTTAATTTAGAAAAAAACAATTCACGCAAAGCGTGAAATCACATCTTGTCAATTTATTTAAAGAGAGATCCCACACGCGATCCTACACTAATCTAATAATTGTTATCGCGTACGTAAATTACTTTTTGTGTCTCTCTTTAAGTCTCACCTTCAGGCCGAGATCCACGATATTCAGCATCAGCAAAGACTTCTGTCTCTGCCGATTCGAATAAAGAAGATAGGACGTTTCCAGCTGCTTGTTGTGAAAGCTATTGGTCAGCGAGGGCAGAAATATTCCTTTGTACAGCGTTCCTTTCTTGAAGACATCTAAAAATAATCACGCGATTCGCGCACATTCATTTTCGAGGAAAAACACACATTTGCGGCCGAGATTGACGGATGTGACTTTCGTACCGCGTTGCGTCGGAGCCTCCTCCTCGCTCACAGCCTGCTCCGCGGCTTCCGGTTCCGCTTTCGCGGCTTCGACATCCTCGGCGGGCTCCTGACTGGTGTCCTTGGGTTCAATGACGATCTCGGGATCCGCGTTGGACTTCCGATCCTCCCACGCCGCCAGCCCTTCCCGACCCAGTCTTTCGGACGTTAACTTCTTCACCGCCTTGATCCATAATTGTTTCCTCGGTGAAATTGCCGACCTGTGCTCGTCAAAAATCGCCACAACATGTCGATCGTGACAAATGCGATAACGTTGTAAAGTGCGAAATTCGTTTTCGGCAAAAAATGATCTGATTTAAGCGCGTGTTCTAAACTTTTAATGTCACAATTGTAAGAAGTGATTTAAGGAAGTAATGTGTAAACTTGTTAATTATGCGCGTACTACGCGCGCAATCAGATAAATGCATCTCTCAACACATCTCTTTTTTATAAGAAAACTATTCTGATTATGACGACTTCTTATATTTGCTTTTTGCCGGATCAAACAAATTTCACACTCTTCAGGTGGGGGCAAGGTGAGAAAAAGAACCGGCCACTCACTCGTTGATACTCGTAATATCGCTGTCCAGCATCATGGTCCAGGTCTGTTCTGTAATCATTATCTCCCCGAGATGATCCGCGGATCACGACTGACTGCTCACGTTGTGATCGTCAGTGAGGCAACAAGTGCCTTACTAGTGTCATCCGGCATTGTTCACAGACACCTTGAATGAGAACTGACTGCGAAGAGGCGACGATCGCGATATGTTTTTTCTTTCAAAAAACAATCGTCTCAACGAGACTGGCGGATCGCGGATCACGCGAGAGAAAGACAGAGAGAGATCCTGGCCCGTGAATCTCTCTTGCTTTTTAAGACCGAGGTGAGATGCAAGAGGCGTCTGGTCGAAGTGTTGTGTACCTCTTCCTTTCTCATCGGCGTATCGGCTCGTGACGAAAACGCCTCCACGAGAACCGCCTACGTGATGTTTTTTTCTAATACTTTCAAGACTTTTCATGGCTCCGGATTTAATCAATTTCTTTATCGTCATATTATAAACTTTGTCAACATTAAATCGGGCAGCGTTACGTGAAAAGATATCGCGAAAACGAAACGGTCTCCAAAACGGATTAATATTCGGCTCGAGCGATTTTTGTTTAAAAGTACGTGGATTTCAAAACACTCTTTTTCTACGATAAAAATCGAGAGAATTGAATTTTTATTTTTAGTCTAAAATAATATTAAAAAAAAAAAAAAAAAATCATTTGAGAAAAGACGAGTTTATTTTGTTACGACTGTGGACGAGCGAACACTTGTTGTTCGCGAACGAATCAAAATCAGTTATAAAATTTGCATTGTTACATTTTCGTCATGGCTCGATGCATTTGCGTGAGAAAGGAAACAAGGTACCTAGTATTTGATCGCGATGCCAAAAGTAAATTATTTATCATTAAGTTGTGAGAGTGTGTGTGTGTGTGTGTGTGTGTGTATGCGTAGTTTAATCATAATTGATTAAAAACGTGTAAATTTTTTGTTATTACATTTTCACAAGTTTCTCAGTGGTGAAGAGCTTCATCTCAAAACAAAAATAAAATAAATCTCAACTACGTCACTAGTTTTTCTTCTACGTTGCAATTTTATTAAAAATGTGTGTTTTAATAGATAGATCACGAGTGACTTACCTTAATCGTGGGTCTTCTCAGCAAACGGGAAAACAAAATTTTCTTTTCCGTAGCGTTGTAGCATCGAGGGGGGAGGGGGGAGAGTGCGAAAAGTCGCGAGGTGAACTCGAAAATCGCGCGCGCACACTTCTCTCGACGAGCCGATGAGCGCAATCTACGAAATCCGTCTGCGATGTTCAGTCTCCATTCCCCATCATTATTGGCGTATCCCCCCACGGTTGGATATGACAACCCGAAGGAGGGACGCGATCGCCCCCTCGCTGGTGCGCGCTGACATCTCAAAATAACGACGCTACTATTATTGTAAATCGAAGGGTGTTGCGTTAAAAAAAAAAAAAAAAAATAATGTTAAGTTGTAACAATTGCATTTTAATATTCTCTCGTTTGCTGATAACGCAATTTCGATTGTCGTCATACCGAGTCATGTTGCCGGAGACCGAAACAAAACATGTAAGTGACAGATTGATCATCAAACTGTGTATATTAATTAAAAATGAGAGAGATTAATTAATGAGAGAGACGAGACGTTGAATAAAAGATTTGCTGTACTTATTATCGATTTGTACTACTATTTAACACGAAAGTAGAGACGGCGATGCTGGCGCGGCGCATGTGCTCGAACACGCGCGAGTTCCGTTGAAAAATTAATAAAAATTCTTTAGATTAGTTGATAAGACAGATATATTTGCGAAAAGTAAAACTCTGCACGCGGCGATTCGAGAAAATTATTAGTGGACAACTTTATTGTATATAATTAAATAGAAAAATTAATATTTTAATTTCCGACTACATTTTTCTCACATGTTCTTTTCTTATGAGAAGAGTCTAATGATGTTTTTTTTATTGCAACACGAACTGTATACGCTGTTGTCTAATATCGATATCTATTATCGATATCAGTGGACTGATAGTCTATAGTTTGTGTTACACGTATTATAGATGCCGGTGTTAGTGAAACGCAGTCTGCGCGGTGTCGGAAGTGAAATGTCAGTCGCGTACGCAAAAGAGGTATCTTCAGATCCTTTATACAAACAAAAAAATAATGATAATATTTTTATAAAGTAGCATATTTTTTTTTTTAATACAACAGATTTTACATTGGATTTTTGCATAAATGCGCGACTTTCAATCAGTACAAACTCAAAGTTTCGGCAAAGTTCACATAGTAAAATAATGAAATTGATATTATCCTCTTGGTCAATGAACTTTCTTCATTACACGTGGACTATTACTGATCTATTACACGTACATCAAAGTAATATACGATTCGTGACTAAAAATGCAAATATAATAAAATAGTAGTTGTCAATTTTATATTTTATTATTGAACTTTGCTATAAAAATTGAGTTTAGATATTATATATTAATAATATATTAATTAATTATATATTAATAAATATTTATACATGTAGAATATTAATGCATGTCGGAAGGAACATAGTGGCTTCTCTCTCCTCGCGCCGACAACGCGCGTAGAGGAGGAAGAGCCTCTGCTTCCGCTACTGAAAGTATTAATGCATCGCAGTGTGTACGGGATTTCTCTGTCGGTTTCAACGAACACTCTGAATAGCACACGATGCTATTCAGAGTGTTCGTTGAAACCTGCTATGTTTCGAGACTTTGCTCACGCATGCGTAGGGTAAACCTCGTGAAATGGTTTAATAGTCCAAGCAAGATGGTCGACTGTGTGGTTACATCATACATTTCTTTGTCGCAATATGTTAATCAATTGAACAATCGCAAGCGAGACTTTGTCAATGACAAGCAACTTAGAATCAGAAGAAAAGGATCATGTCGGAAGATTTATCTCGGACTGACACGTGAGCGGATTGTTCCGAATGTTCGGGGGAGAGTCGTTAAAAACCAAATCAAATCTTCCATCTTCATGTGTACACGGTTTTGTATAATATTTTTTCTCGCTAGAGTACGCTAGGATTTATCATTTGTAATCGAGTTTTCCTTTCTACGATGTTTGAGGAAACTTTGTCTCGCGATGCTGTGATAACATCATGTCTTCGGTAACAGAGATTAGTTTAGCGCAAATGCGCGTACGAGCATGTATGTGGGGGTGTTGCAACTTAGTTGATTTTGGTAATTTGTCATTAATAACTTAAGGTAAATGCAGATAATACATAAACAATTGACCGAATTAAAATCTGAATACATGTGTAAATTAAATAAGCGCGCGCGCGCGCGCACGTGTGTAAAAATATATTTAAACAATTTTTATAAGTAAGAGAAATAGAAATACAAAAATCACAAGACATATTTTTCAATAAATTCCTAACAAAAAAAGAAATCGTATAGTATTTATTTTTTTTTAGTACGCGTACGTAACAATTGCATGAAAAATATATAAACTTTTCAATGTTTTCAATTTAAATAAATTTAAAATTAAAAAATTCGAATAAATTAAATTTAATTCCTTCGTACTTTTGTTTTCTTTTCAGAAACGCACCAAACACTGTTCAACACATAAAATTTGTAATTTCTTTTTGAGAAACTCACTTTACACACTGATAAAGCAACATGCATTGGCTCAAAATCTCGTGCATTTTGTGTATGTTTGGATGTTTTAAGGACTTCAGACCTTCGGAGTCGTTTATCACAGATTATTTAACCGGTCCGTGGAAAGGATTCACACCTGAAGAAGTGAGTTTTTGCGAAAGATTCACAAAAGTAATGTCTAATATAATTAAGAGATATTCTAACGTCTCGGTATTTTTTTGTTTCGACAGGTAAACGAACTAATCTATCCTGTATCCACATACAGCTACATGGCAACTTTGATACTAGTGTTCCTGATCACGGATCTTGTCAGATATAAACCAATTATCATTCTCTGTGGTCTCTCCGGCATAGTGACGTATATTATGATAATAGTTGGCAAGTCTGTGTTGATATTTCAGATTCTAGAGTTCTTTTACGGTCTATATTATTCCACGGAAGTGGCTTACTACACTTACATATACGCCAAAGTAGATAAAGAGCATTATCAGAAGGTGACCGGTCATACCAAGGCAGCTGTATTAATTGGACGTAGTATGTCCGGCCTCATAGCACAATTAACGGCCTCTTTTAGAGTATTGGATTATCATCAGCTCAATTATTTAACTCTGACGTGTAAGATTAAACAAGCAAATGTTTTTTATTGTATTAAAACGAATTTGATATACACGTAACTTCACACGCGTCATCAAATTTTCACATAAATCGTATACTTCAAATTTAATTTAATATTCCTTTTAACACATTTTGTTGTCTCTAACGAGAAAGAATCTGTGATTGTTAAGTGATTCTATATTCTAGCTATCACAATTGCGACTGTTTGGGCGCTATTCTTGCCCTCCGTGGGTCAGTCGATCTATTTCCACCGTGCGAACGCTTGCGAGGACGAGCGAAGAAAAAGGTCGCTCGAGCTGCGAGGAATCACGGTGAGCGTTTTACCGAATGCAGTGTGCAACGGCGAGAACAGCACGACTTTACATCATTCGTTCGCGCAATTGAAAGCGCCGCTGTTCTACAAGATCAGAAACGCGTACGTGCTGCTGTGGAAGCACTTTGTGCAGGCCTACGCGAATGATCGAGTGCTCAAGTGGTCCGTCTGGTGGGCCTTAGCCACTTGCGGCTATTTACAAGTCATCAGCTACGTGCAACTGCTGTGGCAGACCGCGGTCGGGCCCGATGACGAGATATACAATGGAGCTGTGGACTTTATATACGCTATTCTAAGTAATAATAATAATAATAATTGCCCTGCTAATTAATTCTATTTATTGGAATAATAATAATAATAATTTTTGAATGAATGTGACAAAGCGTACAGGCTGTATCCGTCATTAAATTAATTTAAAAAATAACTTTTCTCTAGGTAAAAAAAATAAAAATATAAAACACAAATTAATGTAATAGATATGGAATGTATTGTGCAATATCGGTACTTTTTGTGATTTTCATGTTCAGTAACATAACATAAATTGCACTCTATCTTTGCCAACGATATCTCGCGTAACTATCTGCGTCTCTATAATCGCAGACATCTGTGAGAGATAAACTTGATGGAGAATCTGCTGATAGTGATAATGAAACGATAAACATTTCGATCTGATGTTTTATGCATACAAAGTGGAATGCGTTAAAGAAATGTTTTTTACGTATAATACTTTTTTGCTTTTTAGAATTAGAATTTAAAGGACTATTTAACGAAGAATTTAACTATTTTACCACGGATATACAAAACGATTTCTTTTAATATATTTCTTCGTTATCATCAGGTGCAGCAATTGTATTTTGCATAGGAATGATGCGATTAAACTGGAATTTATTAGGCGACATCACATTGTTCGTGTTCTCTCTTCTGGAAGGTCTCATATTGCTGTTAATGTCGTTCAGCGACAACATCTGGTTCCTATACGCCGGCTACATCATATTTGGCGTGATTTATCACACCATGGTCACCGTCGCGAGGTAAATTAAAACGTGCCATTTGAATCGACAAATATATTTTTCAGAAATCAAAAAATAATATCATGCTGAATTTTAAAGAGAGTTTTTTCACGCGTTTTTTCTTTTTTGCTCGTTTGCAGCTTTGAGGTCGCTAAATACATATCCGAAGACAGTTACGGTTTGGTATTCGGAATAAATATGTTTCTAGCCTTGGTGGTGCAGAGTTTGCTGACGTTTGTAGTCATTAATACGCTCGCAATGAGTATTAGACCTCAGGTGAGGAAGTGTGCGTGCGCAGAAAACGACATTAAAACACGGTCTCAAATAACGCTGCAAACGCTTTGTATTTTCAGTTTTTTGTCTATAGCAGCTATTTTATGGTCTTGGCTATGGTTTACCTCGTAATGGGCGTCGTCAACGTTGTGCAGCTACATCGGAGCGGCGAAAGCTTTCATTTTTGGGTTAACGATAACAATAATCCATCCGTTACGCAAAACGCCAGCAACTCGAGCAACGAGACAACGACGTCATCCAAGTCCGAACACAACGACAGCTGATGCAGTAGCGTTTTAGTTGAGAATCACACTTGTGTCAATGGAAGAAATAGTTTAGAAGATTTTGACTTAGTCAGATCTCTCAGAATGTATCTCCGTAAAAAAGAAGATATTTTTTTCTTGTACATATGTCGTATACGTATCGTATATGCTCTTGTGCAGTATTATATTTTTATTTAACAAATTGTTTTTTTTTTCTACCAAAAACAATTCTATTAAGTAAAAAACAACAGAGAGTACTTACCGAATTGGTGCGAAAGATCTGTCGTTTATTTTTTTTTTTTTACCGAATTGTCGGAGCATTAAAGAATCTAGAAGTTTAAAAAATTTTTTTGTACTTCTGATATATGAGAATATATACATATTGCGCTAAATGTTATACTTAACATTATTCCAAGAGACTGATTTAGATTTTATTTGAAGTGAGCGTGCGACACGCATCTTTTGCATCAATCTAGCAAATATTGTCTCGTTATGAGAGAAAGAGAAGTGAATAGAAATAGTAATTTTAGAGACTGCACACATATAGTTATATGGTATATGATTTTTTGCATTTATTTGTTATAAATTTGTTAAAATAAAAAGAGGAAAATAATAAAAAAAAAAAAAAAATTATGTTGGTACCGTCATTAATGTCTACTGTGAGAAGCGATATACTAAACTACAAAGTGTCACATTCTGATCAATGAAGCTATTGTTTGCTATCATGTTATCTCAGTAGTCGTCTTATCAGACGCATAATCATCGAGTCAGATATCGTGTGAAATCAACAAGAATTCGCAATTAGACATTGGACGCTCATTCGTGAATTGTCAAGTGACAAAAGATAAACAAACATAATTACAAATCTAATAATGTACTTGCATCTTTGATCGAGATACAATAACTTCGTTAATTAAATATTTTATCATTGTTCATTTGTTGGATTTCTAGTAAGTAAATACTCATTTTTTTATCAGTACATATGTATTGCAGTTTTTTTATTATAGAAAAGCTTCGAAGAAACTAACATTTATTTTTAATTGATTTAATCTGTATAATAAGCTTTTTTTTAAATCGCAATTATTAATTGAGTTCTTTTTTACTCGAATAACTCGAAAAAATGAAATTCATTGAAGTTAAGAAAAGGATTGTTGTTCTTCGAAATTTTTTTTAAATTTTGCTGTATCAGTGTTATTTCTGCAATAGAACAAATTATGCAATAGAACTTATGCAATAGAACAAATTGTTCTGCTTGTTTCTTTCCACACACAATCGAAAGTCGCGGTTCATCGGACAATTATGGGAATTTGACTTTGGGATTTTCCCACATCCGCGTCTCGTAAACGTACACGCTCAAAACGCGTGTGTAAATAAATGCATCACACAAGAGCTGCAGTTTACAATGAATTACTATCAACGATGATGTATCGTTTTTTCACTGTAGTCGTCAAGATACATATTTTCATAGTGTAAAACGCTTTTACAAAAGCTATTATTTGTAAAAACATTTGTACTTTTTTTTTTTTATTATACGAGCTTAATTCTCGCTAAAGTTTTACGAACAATTGAGACAAAACTTTACGGATTTGACGATTAAAAAACCACCACATTTATTGCAAAGAGGGGTTAGTCACATCAGAATTACAATCTCTCGCGGTTAGGTTAATGAGATCACTGACATTAAAGCGCTTCTGAGAATCTTTATTTGATAAGTAGAGCCAACACAATGTAGCCGCAATTGGAACTTGACATCGTCAAGTAAGTGGTTTATTTGTGAATCGTATATATTTTATTTATTGTTTAGCATATCAGAACCTAAGAGATCTATTTTTTTAATTACATGATACGCAGTAAATTATATAAGTATATAAGTATTTATCGTTCAATTATATATAATTTATCGTTCAATTATATAATTTATCGTTTTTAATATTCAATCACTGTTCAATTTTGCTGGAGAACGAGGTGAACAACATCCTTCTTGCACACACTTGATTTACATTAAGCCATTTGACCTGTTCATCTTGACCCACTTAATAATCACAGACGGGCAAATATGCAAACTGAGCGGTTGACGCAATACTCGAAAGATAAATTTTATTATCAGTTAATTTTACATTTTCAGATTTTATATCTCTTCAGAGAGATTCTCTTTCTTCTCGCAAACGTCTTTTATATTTCAGATAATTTGCGCTTTACTTGTGCGATAATAAGTCGACGAATTCGATTGTCCTCAAGCGATTGTACTTGTACTTCGTATTCGAAACTTTATCTGACAATGAGGAGATTCACAGGACAAGGTTAAACCAACTTGAAGACCTTCGGAACGACGAAAACTAAAAGAAACTATTCGAATGTAGAACGTGATTCTAATTAAAGTTCGCTAATATCATTTTCTCTAGTAATTCACACTTCATTCACAAAGTGTTTTTCGATAATAACTTTTTCAAAAAAGAAGATGCATAATTTTTTTGTACAAAAAAGCAAATTGCGCAGAAAATCGTAAAGTTTACCTATCGTGAGAGCCTTGAGAAGTGGGTTTCTGGTAATAAAGAGCCGATGATTACGACTGGGCATTTCCAAGACACGAGGAAGTAATAACTGGAGACAAGCGAACAAGCAAATATTGTGTCGTACTTAAAATTTAGGATCGGATTTAAAAGGAGAAAACGAACAAAGTTTAGAGAATCGGATGATGAAGAGGAGAATGAACAAAAAGTAGGAAGAGTTGTACTTTTTTTTTTACGCAGAATAAACGAATTACCGCGATTTTAGACGTTAAACTTGTATATCAAATATGTCACCGAAGGTGACGAGCAAACAGAAATTCTCATCTAAATAATTTATCGTATTTTTACGTCAAAATTTTCTAAAAGCGAAAGTCGAGATCGATTTACTAGCGATGCATAAAATGCAACGCTTTCTGGATTTTCCTGCTTCGCTTAATACGATCCTGACCCTAACTCGACGATGTGTCATGACGTTCTCCACTGTTCTCCACAGCAGTATGACGAACCACCAATAGTAGTAATAAGAAAAAGAGTGGGGTCGGACAAACATTCCGAGAGTCTGTCTTCATGACTGTTCGCCAGTCGCGTCTCTTCTCAATCGTCACTTGGATGTCCAGTCCATCAAGAACATCACACACTGATTGTCACTTGGACCTGTGATCGATCTCGCTGAATTTTCAATTTATCGAAGAGTGTCAATAACGATGTTGTTTCTTTCGGTGAGTGCTGCTTATACTTTTCTAGCGTGTTTTAATAGTTTGTAAAAATTTGCTTTGTAATTTTGGAAAAAAGTGAGAATAAAATTTCTTCGCGCACAAAATTCATTAAAATGTTGTTGCTTTTATCGTACAGCACGCACTTGTGCACATTCTGTAATTTCTCTCAAAGATTCGCAATTGTTATCATTCTAGAAGAAAGATGAGAGTGCGACGCACCGAATTTCAGAATCTAATCTTAGAATTTTGCAATCACGTCAGAATTTGAGATAAAATACTGTGAGATAAAGTAATCTTTCAAAAATGAACATTCTTGCAAAATTCTCTTGTTTGAAATTTGAAATAATTTGGAATTTTATTTTAAATAATATATTTTTTTTTATTTTCTCCTTTTTATTATCGTACAGTGCGATCTTTGATCTTTGTTTATTCGTTCTATAGCTACACGTCGTATATGTTTTATGCGCATCTGAATTTCTAGAAAAATTGAATTTTCCAAGTTTTCAAACTTGCAACAAAGAATGTACAGAAATGAGGAAAGATTTGTTTTAAAAAAGCGGTTTGACGATTTTTCAAATACAATTTAATGACACAAAATTTTCCTCGCCGTATTGCTAACAAATAGTTAGCTTACTCGAATGTGTTTACTATACGTCTTCAAGAAATCACTTCTGACTGCCCTAACCTTATCGGAAGTTCAACCGCGATAAATCTTATCATGAGAGAAAAGAGAAAGATCAAACATTTCGCTCCGGAAAATTAAATTTTATATCTCTTTTTTTGTTTGACTCGCATAAAAAATTCCTTCACAAATTGAATTTAATTCAATTTGAACCAATTTCAATATCGCATTGCAATAACAAATGAACAAGTGAACGCAGTTACAATAAATTGTGTACAGTTAAATCTCGTTATAATTTTACTTAGATACATGAACGTTTCGAATCTACAAGATTCCTCTTCGGTATAAACATCGATTTACAATAGCGAGTCGGTACAAGGTCGAGTTCAAATTTAACGTTCCTCCACATGCGTTTAAAAACCATATCGTTAATACCATCATTTGGTTTTATTGCTCGGTTTACTTACGAGCGACGCGTCAGATTTATGTAACGTATTTATCTTTCCGATATTTATGAATATATCACGACATTGACTACGAGGCAGCGTTAATCCGACTCGCGCTCCAACATATCGTACAATCTCGACATGTGTACAATGAACCGGTGTTAAATAACTATATGAAACCGGTATAAATAAACAAGATAAGGTCACACAATTCACTGTTCTCATTGTCACTGTTCGAGTGCGATTCTATTTGATCTCACCTTCACACGCGAAGATTCTGCCATTGTGTTCGTCAAGATAATAATAAAAAATTCATCCATTCATTAATAAAAGATGAATCTTTCTCTCTTTTAATTGCATCGCAACATGCGAGTTAGTTAACATCACGATCGCGCTTGTTGTATCATGTTGATACAATTCTATTATAAAAACAAAGTCCTCACTTCTCCAAGCGTTCGTACAAGGAGAATTCAATTTTACGACTACTCGCGGAATTTCCCTGTCACTCTTTAATTCATTCATAGATTCTTGCGTCACGAACAAACTGTCTCGAGCGGCTCTCTTGAAAGAGTAAAAAAAGTAAAAAAAAAAAAAATACAAAAAGAGTTTTTTCCTCTGATGAAGCAAGAGTAAAGCAAGCAGAGAGACTTAGCTTCGCGAGCTCACTCGTCATGAATTGTACGATACGTGCTCGACATAACAAGGAGCACGCATGACGTGCAGCAACGGATTTACCAGAACTTGATCCGCGATATATTTCACAACGCTAGAATTTCGAGCTATTAAACCGTCTTGACTTGAGTTTTTAATGGGATGTCGGGCTCCGATTATCCGCCCATACGCCAGAAATCCCATTAGATTCGCGACGGAAGAGAGAAATAACTTTCTAGTTTCATTCTTATACACAAAATGTATTATCAGAGCGTGTTTTTTTGTTTTTTTTATCGATACTATACGTCGAAAATCGCCACTTTATAACTCAGTCGAGTTTTTCTCAAAACTCAAACACTTTTGTTTTAGATTCTTTTGCACATAAGATTCAATTTTTATATTCAACGTAAAAATAATATTTTTTTAATAGAACATTCAATATTAGAAGAAAATATTTTTTTTTTTTTTTAAGTAATAGATTGATTTTTTCATTTTAAGCGTTTTCTTAAGTCAGCGTTTTTGTTTATTTAAGTGTTTTATTTATTTTAGAGCGTTGCTCTAATAGCGTTCTAAGGTTTTTGTCGAGGAAGTAAAGAGTCGCAAGGCAATATTGCAACGTATATGATGTCACAAGGCAATATTGCAACGTATATGATGTCAATGAAGACTTTGTCATATGAGATTGCCTCGTAATTAGTCTTATGCAAATTTTACATTACGTTACGCCCTTCCGAGGCGTTGCGTCCGTGAAATTGTGAGCGGCTAGAATCATGTGTTTTCATTCATCGTTAAAATGCTGCCTTCGTCACAGATTTGATTTCAAGTCAAGAAAGCCTTGGTGATGTCATGTCGCGCTGGCTTTACCCAGCGCTTGCTGCTTTCACTCGTTTCTATAACTTCTCCGATTTCTGATCCGGTCGCAATTTCGCTGCAATCGTGCAGGAAATGACCAATCGAGAAAGAAGGAACAGAAGTCAAGAAACTGAATTACATCACCGTACACGTTATGATTACCCCGATATCTCATCACGCGTAATCAGAAAGCAATCAATTTTTTTCATTCGTTATCGTTTCTAATTTCGAGAAATTAGAAATGCGAATCTCCGATTTCAAGTTTTTAGTTAAATTGATATCAACAGAACAGAAGAAAAAGATTTTTGTTACATTTCGCTTATCCTTCATGTCGCAAGTGTGTTCCTCGTCGCTTTCTCCGTCGCGCCGCGCGAGAAAGTTTTTTCTCTCGACAAGAATATTTCAACGAGAAAATGATGTCACGTGTGATTTCCATGTATTTTATTTTTTTCATAAATTTGATTTTACCATTATTTTCATCCTCTCAAAATTACTAGAACAAGAATATTTCGAGAAAATTGACTTCAAAAAATTGTAAAGTTTGCAACAGCTAAAACTTCCGAGCGAGAAAAACGTTAAATTGCATACTTTTATCTAATAAATATTGTTTCTCCTCTCTTGTTTTGCAGGCGATAATATTGCTGCTGGCGAGCGACGGAATTTCAGCGCAATGTCTGGTAGGAAACGACATACCGTCGATGATGGACCGGATGTCCATGATATTTCTGAAGGAAGCGCGCATCGACTTCGCGCTCGACAGTCTGAAGAAAGCCGCGCTGATCGAATCAAATGACAACATCTTCTTCAGTCCGCATAGTATCAATCAGGCTCTGACTGTAGCGTACTTCGGAGCGCGGGGAACCACCGAACAATCTCTCAAGGAGGCCCTACGAATACCCGAACAGCTCTCGAAAGCCGAGGTGCAACGCTCCTACGGCTACGAGAGATCACTCAGACAGACACGTTCTCAGGTGAGCGATTTTTTTCTCTTTCTCTCTCTCTCTCTCTCTCTCTCTCTCTCTCTCTCTCGTGCGCGATTATGCAACTGTGCGAATTACTTCGTTGTTTTCTATACCGAAGGTATGTCAAGGCAAATCGCGTGCGGTTTATCACTACATCAATGTGCTCGGATCACCAACGTCCTCGCGTTAAAACGTTGTCGTCCTAGAGAATCGAGGTTCCGTATAAATAAATTTAGGATCACCTTGCCGAGATATTTGACTCTCGTACGAACTAACTTGAGTGATCTCAAGAGAATATATTTAAAAAATTAAAAGTACATCGAAGAGACAAAGAATGTGTCGCGCAGAACCAAATGACACATTTTTTGAATAACAATGACTGTGAGAATATCGACCGGTTGGAATAGAATCGAATCTATATGTCAGTCACGATAGGCAATGGGTGTTGTTCGAATTGGTCAATCGCACGGGTGTTGCGTTCCGTGTAGGATTTTGGAAATAATTGCAAAACAAACATTGACCTCTTCACAGACAAACAACTTATTTGAATTCTGAATTTTCAAAATTTAAATGTATTTGCACAATACATACATACGCTTAATTGTATAATACACACGACTACTCTGCTTCGCGAATAATCAGCTGCGTGCAAAAATAATAATTATTAAAAAAGTTCAGGAAATTTTATCGGAAGATCTTACGAGCGATTTTTCTCTCTCTTCTTTGTCTAGAACACCGAGAATTCTTACGAATACAACGTCGCCAACAAGTTCTGGATCACGAACGCCAGAAAGCTGCGCGAGTGCATGCTCGATTTCTTCGGCGACGAGCTGGAGGTGACCGATTTCCGCACGAATCCCGCCAACGTGCAGACTTACATCAACAACTGGATCAGCAACATAACGAAGGGCCACATTCACGATCTCCTCCCGCCGGGCGCGATCACCGCGGACACCGATCTCGTTCTGACGAACGCGGTCTACTTCAAGGGCAAGTGGTCACAGCGCTTCGACCCCAAGGATTCCACGCGCGAGATATTCTACTCGTCCAGCACGCAAATGTCTATCACCACCTTCATGAATCAGATAGGGAACTTCAATTACAGTAAGCGCTCATGCATTTCACACTCTGTACTTTTTGTAATTAAACTTATATTATCGTTAGATATAATGACCGTAACGAAGATAACGAAATTAAACGCATATTTTAATTGCTTTATTATCTTCTTCTTTCCAAGGTATCTCTGAGGAATTGGGTGCGTACATCCTTGAGCTCCCCTACGTGGGCGACGAGATATCGATGTTCGTGTTGCTGCCGCCGTTTAGAGTTCTGTCTCGTCAGAATTCCGAGCCCGGCACGCAGGACAACATTCTCCGGTTAGTGGAACGATTAGCTACGAAGAAAGGAACCCAGGAACTTCGCGAGATCATGGACAACGGAATGACGCGAGAGGTCAACGTGAATCTGCCGCGTTTCGAGGTAGAAAAGGAGCTGCCGATCGGTCAGATGCTGCACGCTCTGGGCGCCGGCGAGCTGTTGGCGCCCAGCGCGGCCGATCTGCGCGGCTTTGTTGCCGATGGCGAGAAGAGTGTGCACCTCGGTGACGCGGTGCATCGCGCCCGCATCGAAGTCACAGAAGAGGGTACGACCGCGGCCGCGGCCACCGCGCTCTTTTCCTTCCGCTCGAGTCGGCCGAACGAGCCCGTGGTCTTTAACGCCAATCATCCATTCGTTTATCTGATCTACGATAAGCATTCTAACACGATTCTTTTCACCGGCATCTTCCGCAAGCCCGCTGCGTCAAATTCCGAACCGTCGGTTTAGATCGATTGTCAAAGAAATCACATTTGTTAAAGATTGAGCCGCACAAAAGCAAAGTTTGATCGCTCGACGGAGAGACGAACCAAATTTGGTGACGACTTCATGATGTTTTTATGGTAATTACTGAACATATTGTATAAAGACACGCATAACTAGTTTCACACATTCGCTATACTTCGAAGTATTAAAATAAGAATCTCGCGTCCTCCGAGAAATTTTCGATACGAATTTGTTCCGCGTGAATCTCATTTTTTTTATCTCGCACACACCATACACACACACGCACACGCATTTAATCGAGATTTCTGATGTAACATTAGGTTATATACATATACATATATATATATATATATATATATACATATAGTTTACGTAGTGTATGTCTGTATTGTATAAATAAGTGAGCGAAAGCGAGTGTGAAGTATCGTTTTTTTGTTTTGCAAGAGAAAAAAGAAACAACGATAGAAATTGGAATTGTTCGAATTGATTTCGAATAGTTTTGCATCAGTTATCTTCTCTGAAAAGAAGATTTTGTAATATTTTGTAAAATTCGGAATAATTTCTAAAAGATAGACAGGTTTTGTGTACATAAACTCGTTCGTAAGTTTGTTGAATACAAGCAAGTGCAATTACTTGCTCGCATAATAAATTAATACAATGTGATTTATGTAGTGAGAGAAAGATAATGACGAAACAAAATGAATATATTAAACATGCGTTTTATTTCTATCAATTCATTGCGATGTAAATGATAATAAGGCAACGCATTTCCCGCTTTCGTTAAAATGCGCGTAATGTGAGTATATTTACATGGCCATCAAATGTCGTCGAGCTGTGTCATCGTAGAAAATCACTTAACAAATGTGATAATCGAGTTTCTTGGTGGAGAAAAGAAAAAAAAACACCTGTACGTTGTCGTTCAGCCGTCACCTTTGACATTCAGGTACAAAAAATTAATACTCTCACGCGTAAATAAATTTAAAATACAAAATCTCTTCCGCGCGCCAACGCGATATATGTGGACTACACGCTGTTTTCCGTCGATAAACGTGGAATCTACGAATTGTCGATCTCCTCCTGTATCCTATGTCATCCGCGTATTACATATAAAGCAAACACATATATTAATTGTATAAATACATATATATCTATATTTATATATATGTATATAATATATATATGTTAAATTCTAGTCAGTTCTAATGTGGACAAGTTCAATAAGTTGAACGTATGATATATAATTGAGATATTAACAAGGTGCAATTGTCATTTGAACGAGAGAGAAACATAAGCGATCGACAATATATCAGTTCACGAATTTCAAAAATTTATATATTATTCTTTCCACTTTTTTTTCATAAAAACAAATGTTTTTAAATATCAAAAAGCTGCGATTTAGCGCAAATTCACACCGATTCAATTGTTGAGAGATATCGTTGTGCGATCGACAGCTCGCGCCTCTTCTGGTCGAACCGACAAGCTGAATCCTTGAAGCCGAGAGAACCCATTCACCAGGCTTGACGTCATCGGAGTCCGCTTCGGGCTCGCGGCTCGTATTCGCGCGCCTGTTTTCGCATGTGTGCGCCGCTGTGTGGTTTTACGTATCAGCGACCGTTAGCCGGTAGCATCCGTAAAACTCCAGCAGCTACATTGGCATCTGATTGCGTCACTAGGAACGCACACACACGTACGCACACACACACACACACGTATCCATACGCGTATAATGCAGAGCATACGGCATACTGTAGAAATTACGGACAAACGTGAATCTTGGTGGACGCGAGTCCTTGGCGCGCGAGATGATGAGCAAACTCGAGATCCGTGAGAAACGATAATAATAATCTCGCACTTCCTTGAAGGAAAACACGTCGCCGACACGTTGACGTTCGATTTTCTTCGGTTTTTCTTTCAAAGATCCAATCGGAACAATTTCATCGAGCAAAGAGAAAAGCGCCGAAAGCGACAGGTTGCCTCGAGTGTCGCGGCTACACAATTTTAATGACAATAGCGCGAGATAGTTCGAAATTGTTTCTGCTCGATATAATAACTTTTCGCGCGCAAGTAGGCGTTTTTCATCGTTTCTCCGCATAAAATTGACAGTTATTACCGGCATCGGCGTTTTTCTTTTTTTCTTTTTTTTTTGTTTTACCCCGGACAAGCTGCTCGTAGGCGTCGCGGGGTATTGACAAGTGACAACGTTTTGTCTCTTTTACAATAGGCATTCCACTGAGCTTTAGCAAACGAATTATTGTGCATCGCTCCGCGAACCGTTGGATGCACGTTATTCAAGCGCGTCGTGAAAAAAGACAGACGACACGAATGTGAATATTAGCGATCGAACAACGCCTACGTGTTCTGCGCGTGTTCTGCGTATTATCGGTTTTTCGCGATCACCGAGTTAGAAGCGCGCAGTTCGTGACTTCAGCTCGGAAGCAAGACGGTCGAAAGATAATCGTTGACGTAAAATTTATTAGAGAATCTATTAGGGACAGAATTCCATATGGAGTGCGAATATCCAAAAACAAAAACGTTGAAAAATAATAGAATTAAGTAATTATTAATTAATTATGGTATTGTGCACACAGATAAAGTGATAGTAAGAAAACATATTAATTAATAAACAGAAATAAAATATATAAATGGAAAACAATGAAGAAATGAATAAAAATAAAATTAAATTAAAACAATAAATTCTAGTAATAAACTAATGAAATTAATTTTTTTATTTACAGAATGAATATTTTAGGTCGTTCTCGGTGTCGAAACAAGAGTAATTAAAACTTACTCGAATGTTATTAAGTATCGCCAGAGAGAAACCAAGGCTGGTCCTTGAAGGGCGTTTTTCGACGCCCTCGATCGAGAACTTGTCGTTCATCGACCGTCATTTTTTTTTTTTTCTCTTTGCCGACGATAGGGATTGCTCTCGTGTACACGGTGTACGTACACAGTCACTTTCTTTCTTCCACGACGATGACGACGACGAGAGTTGGTCATGCGCGCTTTTTCGTGCGACGTTCCACATCCTTTGTTCGCGCGCGCTGTAATTATATGTCTTCGCCGTCTTCTCCTCGAACGAGATCATTCGATCAAGACTCGATCTGCGCGCGGCGCAGAAGTTACGCGTGTCAAATTCCGCACGATCATCCACCGCGTCTCAGCCTTGCATTTTTTTTCTCCGAAACCGCAAATCGGGCAACGTACACAATTCAGAGCAACGTTGAAATATATATATATATATATACACAAAAGTTGTATCACAATTTTCCGTTATCTTTTGAGAAAACACATCTTGCAATGTTTAAATAAAATTGCAATTTAAATAAATCTCGAGACGCGTTTGTCGTTAAAAAATTTATACAAAATTTTGTAAAGCAGTTTTTTTAAGATTTTGCAAATTTTGTTTTCGAGTTCAGCGCGACAGTCCTCTTTGTTCGTCGTTCAAAAGAATTTAATTTTTACGAACGGTATTAGATTCGAAACGTAATTTCGAAATTCGTGATCGTTAGAGCAGAGATTCATGGAAATTACGAAGCTTGGCGGCGGAAGGAGGAGGAAACGAGAGGAAAGAAATTTCCGTCGCGCACGGTTATGACCGGTCGCAGGAATTATGACAAAGGCTTTTTGATACGCATGGCCAATCTTCAGGACCGACTTCGTCTCGCTTTAAAAACACTTGTCACTATATTTGTGATTTTTTTGTTCCGACGTTGCCGTCGTGAAAAGAATCAATTCGTTCACATCCACTTGTTTTTCCTCAAAGATATACGTCACTCTTAGAAGAAATCGACAAAAAATTGAGACGCAGATACGGATCTGTTTAAAAATTCAAGCGAGCGTATGAAGCAAAGAGAGTGACGAGAGCCAAACGCTGATATCGATTTGTTCAAGTAAAAAAAAAATAAAATAAAATAAAATAAAATAAAATAAAAAACAAAAAATATACAAAGCGCAAAATAATTTTTCAAAAATTCCGCCTCCGCTCGTTGAAACTCAACGAGTTGACATTATATTTTTCACCGTTCGAGAAACAGCCATTTGCATGTCTAGCGTGTCTGTATGCTGTGCAACTATGTTAACGCAGTATATTTTCTTGCATTCCTCGCGCGAAACCGCGACGCGAGCCGCAGCTTTTTGCGTTTTCTCGCGTCGGCCGTTCGGAGAACGTTTTTCGACATAATTGACGCGAACGAGCGATCGTCCGTATTGCCGCGGAAACATTAAAGAAATTGACGATGACTTTGAATATCTGTCGCCCCTTTTATGTACGTACACCCAGAATGTTATCGCGCTTGACACATACATGCGACGTGCCGTCGGTACGCGAGTTTGCGACGAATAGGCGGATCTTCGTGCGCCGCTTCTTCGCCGGCGCAAAATCAACATTCCCACTTATTGTTTGTCAATTAATTTGCCAATTGGCCGTGTAAATTTTAATCGGGTCGATCAAGACCAGCCCTTCTCTCTGTCTCTCTCTCTCTCTCTCTATCTATCTCTCTTTCTCTCTGCCGAGTCGTGCGCCTTTCGTTTGTCCTGGTTTCGTTACTATTTGTCGTCGACGCCATTATCGTTATTGCCGCTCATAATCTACGCCGCGGCTCAAAGACAAGAGATATCGCCGTAAGGGCAAGCACGGTAGATTCTAGCGTCGCGCCGGATAACGATCGTAATGCAAATTGCGCGAATTCTACCCCGCCCCCCGTACTCGTTCCTTTTCTAAGATTAACCCAGGAATCGTGCAATCGCAATTGCGACGAGAAAGAAACGTGCGCTCGCGAGCGATCGGTGGAAAAAAAAGCGCGTCACGCGGCCTAGGCTCGATCTAGTATCTGTCAGGCAGATAACATCGAATTCCAATAACGGCTCACCCACTCGCGTCGAACTCGTGGGTGAGCTCCTGTGTCTGCGATACGAGCAAAACGCGCCCTCCCCCTGCGTTCGCATAAAAACCTATACACGCACACATTCGCGATATTGTAATTGTAATTTGCACATGTATCACGGTATATCTTTTTTCCTCAAATACATGAGAGTAATTTTTTTTCTCTTCAATATTGTTTCTCTTGAACATTTATTTTCGTGACACAGAGATTTATTTTTCGGAGTATTTAAATATATTGAAATATATTTTATTTTTTGTCTTCAAGGTGAAATAAATAAACACAATAAAAATATATTTATTCTTGAGATCTTGCGCGTGTGGAAACATAAAATGCAAAATTATTTTTTCATAAGCAATATATTTTAACACATTTCTCAAAATAATAATCTCCCTGTGGATGGGGAGAGAAGAGAATCCGCCGCATCTTCGTAAAAGGCGACTAAAGAGGATTTTTAGAAATACGCAATAAAAATTCCGAAGTCGATGGATCTCGACGGAAAAATTCCGTCGCGGCGTGTCTGAAAATTGATAATATAGCAACTATTATTACACGCGTGTGCAAAAGGAGCGCGAATACTGAGAGAACCGAAGCGCGTTTCTTCCAGAGTTATAGTCTGGTTATAACGCACTGCAGATAAATGTTGTCACTGTGCCGCCTCTAACGGTTACTCATAAATCAATCTAAATGTGCGTACAGTGCGATAAGCATCGCGCCGAGCTAATGTAATCGTCTCAATGGCTCTCTTGCGCGTGTGCAGTTTCTCTGCCTCCCGCAAAAACTTGGAACACTCCTTGCGGAACGCGCTTTTCCCTTCTTCTTCTCTACTCTCCTTA